TGTGTAACCAGGAATGGCATAGACATCTGTAGTATCAGGCTTTAGCCAGGTTTCAGTTAGTGTAATGATGGACATATTGGCATGCAAGGAATTTAATGACTATTTTTTGTCTGTTTTTACACAGGAAGATGTAAATGAGATTCCAGTAATTAACAATTATTTGGTTCCTGATCAGTTTAAATTAACTAATATTACTGTCACAAGGAACATGGTTATTAAACAGATAGACAAACTGAAGCAAAGTAAGTCCCCAGGACCCGATGAGTTGTTTTCCAGGGAACTTAAGGAATGCAAGATGGAGCTTAGTCAGCCATTAACGAGTGTGTTTAACACGTCCATCCTTACCGGTGTTGTGCCAGAGTTGTGGAAGATGGCTAATGTGGTTTCTATATTCAAATCAGGGGATAAGTCCACTCCTTCAAATTACCGTCCAATAAGCCTGACATCTATAGTGGGCAAGTTATTAGAATCAATTATAGCTGACATTATCAGAAGTCACCTTGAAGAGCATAACTTGATAAATGAATCTCAGCATGGATTCACGAGAGGTCGTTCCTGCCTGACAAACCTACTGACGTTCTTCAATAGAACATCTGAGGCAGTTGACAGTGATAAGGAATATGATATTGTTTATTTGGATTTAAGTAAAGCCTTCGATAGAGTACCTCACAAGAGACTCTTAAGAAAAGTGGCAGCTCATGGTATAGGAGGTAAAGTTCTAGCGTGGATAGAGGCATGGCTTACCTATAGAAAGCAGAGAGTTACCATTAATGGAGTGAAATCAAATGGGGATTAGTCACTAGTGGTGTTCCACAAGGATCAGTTTTAGGCCCTCTCTTGTTCATAATTTACATTAATGACTTTGATGAAGGGATTACGAGTGACATAAGTAAGTTTGCTGATGATACAAAGATAGGCCGTATAATTCACTCTGAGGAGGATATCAATGAACTCCAGGACGATTTGGACAAATTAATGTCTTGGTCTGAAAAATGGCAGATGAAGTTTAATGTGGATAAGTGTAAGGTACTTGCCCTTGGTAATGAAAATAACCCTCGAAGCTATAATCTAGGTGAAGTAGAGCTTGGTCATACAGAATGTGGAAAGGACTTGGGAGTCATGGTAAGCAGAAATCTAAAGCCAAGACAGCAGTGCCTTAGTGTGCGCAACAAGGCCAACAGATTACTTGGATTTATCTCAAGAAGTATAAGTAACAGAAGTCCAAAAGTTATTTTACAGCTCTATACATCACTAGTGAGGCCTCATTTAGATTATGCTGCTCAGTTTTGGTCCCCTTACTACAGGATGGATATAGACTCATTAGAGAACATACAGAGAAGAATGACTAAAATGATTTACTGTGTAAGGAACCTCCCGTATGAAGATAGACTTAAAGCCTTAAATCTCCACTCTCTGCAGAGGCGTAGGATGAGGGAGATATCACTGAAGTGTATAAGTGGGATGACGGGCATAAACAAGGGAGATATTAAAAAAGTACTGAGGGTGTCGAACCAGGTAAGAACCAGAAATAATGGATTTAAGTTGGATAAATTTAGATTTAGAAAGGACATAGGTAAGTACTGGTTTTCAAACAGAGTTGTTGATGCATGGAACAGTCTTCCCAGTGGGGTGGTAGAGGCTAGGACCTTGGGTAGCTTTAAGAAGAGACTGGACAAATATATGAGTGGGAGGGGCTGGGTTTGATTGGTGTCATTGGGTACAGGAGTTATTTCTTGGGTAGCTTTGGGTAGAAGTCGTTTTGATAAGGACCTGCCTCGCATGGGCCAGTAGGCCTTCTGCAGTGTTCCTCCATTCTTATGTTCTTATGAATAAAGAACTGACTTACTTGATGTTGAAGGATATATCACCCAGTTTTCAACCTCCCTAAGCCTTAGCCCCTCTGTACATTCCCCTACAAGTCACCACGTGCAGTCAGGAACTTAATTCCTGCAATATTTAATCAGTATTAGTTACCTGCCTGCACCTCAGAAATTCCTGATTCCAAGAAGGTGAGTATCCCCTAGTTTAACTAAGCAGGAAGTGACACTAGCTTCTAAGCTTTAAACAAGAAAGGGGGCGCCGGTACGTACTGGTCTTTGGGCGTCCGATTGCACCAAAGACCCACAGTTCAACTCACTCACAATTTCCCCCCAGAAACAGGCCAGAATACTGTGAATGGACCTGATGGAGGAGGGCATCTACAGTGCTTTGGGGTGCCTGCACTAGATTTCCCTAGGTCTAGTATGTGTAGACACGTGGGGGCACCACCCTGCTGTTCACAGCACTTGTTATTCCGGTGGTATCTGATCATAGAAGGAAGCACCGGCATCTCAAAGACCAGCGCCTGGTCGTTCAAGCTTGGGCTGCCACTTCCCTCTAGCTAATATAACCTAGTGTTTGCCTATATTCAAGACCCATTCCTACCTACATTAAGGTCTTAGGTCTACATTATTAATATCTACAGTTGTCTCAATAATTCTAATATTAGTTTACTATCAGTATAAACTACCTACGTCCTCCTTGAAGGGTAAATCTATCAATTAAGACATATCTTCCAACCACCTTCGCCAACTGGGGTATATGTATGTGTTTTGGGTAGATGTGAGGCCTGCAAAACTTAGATGGTCTATCTGGAATTAGGGGCTTCATACGGCTTATTTACCTTGTGGAATTTAGGACCGAATAAGTTCTAACAAGGGCACTTTATATGTCGTAGTAGGTGGGGAGGCCAGGCGGGCTACCATACCTCCCACACGACTTTCTACAAATAAATACTTTTCACCTCTCACCTTACATGAAGACCATTAAGACTACAAACATTTTAAGGTAAGTAATGAGTGTACTGTATATGCATTTTATCACTCTAGGGCACTTTAAGCACTGTAGTATATTATGTGTGGATGGGGTGGCCAGGAGGGCTACCATACCTACCACACCTGACTTCTTACAGTAAATACTGCTCACCTCTTGTCCTACATTAAGATTACAAATACAGTGGACCCTCGAATTTAGTAGTGCCTTCTCTGTATGCAAAACTATTTTTGCATACAGAAATAATGTAAATCCAATTAAACCATTCCAGATACCCAAAAATATTAACAAACAATACATTTTATAGATAATAAAAACAGTTTTGCATACAGAAAAGGCACTACTAAATTCGAGGGTCCACTGTATTTTTATTTTAAGGTATATAATGAGTGTACTGTGTGTATTTTACTTTTTATTGTTTCTTGATTCCTAGTTCGATTGCTAACTTAATATATGTTAGTGTAAACTTGCTATCTGGCATTTATATGCATTTTTAAGTGGAAAAAAATGGCGTTCTGCTTTCCGGCGATGTCTGCTTCGCGGCGGTAGCCTGGAACCTAACCTGCTATATAAGTAGGGCCCTATTGTACTTTAAGAAGCAGTTATTTATTACATTTTGATGAAGTTTCAATAAGATTGCAAATGAAACAACTGAAACAAAAAATATTAAAAAAAAAAATAAAGTTTGGCAAGCACATGCAAATTACTGGCACTGGAAAAGTTACTGGGCACTCCCCACTCATAAAACAATGCTAATCCAATAATATTATAAAGCTAGATACTGTAATTTATTTTGTCTTCATTCCCCCCAAAAATAAATTTCTTAAGTTGTTGACATTTAGAAAAATATCTGCCTCTTACCCCCCCCCCCACTGCAAATCATAAAATATTTGAGATATGTCAAAGGTTGCTTCCTTCGAAAATATAACAGCCATTGTTTTATATTTGTGTAAATTCTTCCAATCCGTTCATTATTAATGGCACACTTTCAAGAAATAGGTCAATATCTTACTTCTGAGATATTAGAGGGAACATACACATAGCTGGTTACTTGGGAAAAAAAAAAAAAATCGTACTACTTTTGAGTCTTCCATAGGATATCAATGTTTGCCCTGTGGTAAACTGTGTTTTCTGTAGTTTCAGTGATCAGAGGTACAAGTGGGAGACCAATTATATATTTTAGGTTCATATCAAGTATCCACGATCCACGGTCACCGGCCAAGCGCTTCATACAATTGGACGTTGTGGAAAATTCTGAATTTTCCTAAATTCAGCATGTGTAAATTTAAATAACATAACTGTGTATTAAAATGTTATGCTGATTTGACCCTTCAAGAAATTTTGAATGAGGGAGGGGTGTAGAACAGCTACTGAGTGATGTGGGGAAGGATGCCTTAGTGAAAATACATGTGAACACTGGTCTGTTAGAAGTGTAATTTAATCAGGCATCATCGAAGTTTGGCTGGTGTAAATCTGCCCCAATCCGTAATTTATAAATTGCTCACACATTCCCACTGAAGAATTGGGATAAAACGTGTTGAAAACCCTTACAATTTGGCAACAAGGATGGAAAAATAGAAGACTCCGAATCTTCCCAGCAGCACACCTTAGCTAAATGATGCTTACCCATAATGTACAGTAGTTGTGCACTGGCCATCACAAATTCTTGCTGTTAGGGTAACATTAGGGTGTGTTCCAAAATTAATAATTTTGATCCAGTAATTAAATGGTGAGTGCTCAGGCTATATTTTCCTTTCTATTTACATAAAATTCATATATTTTTAGCAAAATGCTACTCAAGAGACCCTCCCCCCTCTCCTTCCAAGTCACAAACCATCATGTCCACTCACTATCTTGTAATTTACCAACAATATTGGTATTAATTTTTATGTTGTAATATTTGATAGGTCCGACTTAGTTTATGGGTGGGAAAGTGTGTGGGGGTCTCGGAGGAGAGGTATGGTGCAGCCTAGTACCTCTAAAATCCCATCTAGCTCTAAGGTACAACAAACATCGGTAAGTACAATAAATTGTTGCTTAGTTGTGCCCCCTTCAAATTATGTGGATGAAATATTTCCAGAATGTATCTGTGAACCTCATCCCCATAATTTCCCAGAGATGTCTTTCATTATTCTTATTGTTATATTTCTTGTTTCTGATATCATTTGTAATGGGTAGATGAAGTTTACCTTAATAATTGCATAATTATACAACATTCTATAGTGCAGTGAGGCACCATTTCTTGCGTGTTGCTTGCTCAACATACACTAAGCTTTGCACGTGGAACTTGAATGATTCGCCGGTACATGTCCTGGTCCGGGTCTTTCCCAGTCTATAAGTGGCTTCTCCCTCTCTGATAGCTCCTCCCACTTTGTAACCATGGCACAAGGAGAATTTTATATATTAGATACAACCTGGAGTTTACCTGGAGAGAGTTCCGGGGGTCAACGCCCCCGCGGCCCGGTCTGAGACCAGGCCTCCTGGTGGATCAGAGCCTGATCAACCAGGCTGTTGCTGCTGGCTGCACGCAAACCAACATACGAGCCACAGCCCGGCTGATCCGGAACTGACTTTAGGTGCTTGTCCAGTGCCAGCTTGAAGACTGCCAGGGGTCTGTTGGTAATCCCCCTTATGTGTGCTGGGAGGCAGTTGAACAGTCTCGGGCCCCTGACACTTATTGTATGGTCTCTTAACGTGCTAGTGACACCCCTGCTTTTCATTGGGGGGATGGTGCATCGTCTGCCAAGTCTTTTGCTTTCGTAGTGGGTGATTTTCGTGTGCAAGTTCGGTACTAGTCCCTCTAGGATTTTCCAGGTGTATATAATCATGTATCTCTCCCTCCTGCGTTCCAGGGAATACAGGTTTAGGAACCTCAAGCGCTCCCAATAATTGAGGTGTTTTATCTCGTTATGCGCGCCGTGAAAGTTCTCTGTACATTTTCTAGGTCGGCAATTTCACCTGCCTTGAAAGGTGCTGTTAGTGTGCAGCAATATTCCAGCCTAGATAGAACAAGTGACCTGAAGAGTGTCATCATGGGCTTGGCCTCCCTAGTTTTGAAGGTTCTCATTATCCATCCTGTCATTTTTCTAGCAGATGCGATTGATACAGTGTTATGGTCCTTGAAGGTGAGATCCTCCGACATGATCACTCCCAGGTCTTTGACGTTGGTGTTTCGCTCTATTTTGTGGCCAGAATTTGTTTTGTACTCTGATGAAGATTTAATTTCCTCATGTTTACCATATCTGAGTAATGACACAACGAAATAACTAAAAAATAGTTAAAAATTTCTGAAAATTCACATTGTGTTCAGACATATTGCATGAGTCATCACAAGGCAATGAGTTAATGACTATAATTCCTTGTAGAAATATAGTACAAACATAAGACTTACATCAAAATGTTGCCAAATTCTTAAACTATATTTCTGTAAACTTAACTCATTTTTCAAAAAATTTCGCATTCTTTTTCCCAAACACACATTGTATCCCTCCCTACCTATGGTTATCCTGGGTAGCATATCCTCCATGCCCTGGGTTATCCTGGTGGTTAACCCTCCCTACCCCTGGATACTCTCTATCCTGGGTGGTTAACCATCCCTACCCTATATTATCCTGGGTGGCTAACCCTCCCTATGCTAGAGTATTCTGGGTGGCTAGCCCTCCCTGCCTTTGGTTATCCTGGGTGGCTAACCCTGCCTACCTTGGGTTATCCTGGGTGGCTAACCCTGCCTACCTTGGGTTATCCTGGGTGGCTAATCCTCCCTACCCCAGGTGGCTAACACTGGGTTATCCTGGGCAGTAAACCCTCCCTACCCCGGGTTATCCTGGGTGGCTAACAATCCGTGTTAAAAATCCCTAATAAATCCTACATTTCAAAGTGTCATATGGGTATAAAGGCAAATCTTGTAAAAATGCAAAATGCAAAATCCATAATGAGAAGTCTCAAGAGAATATTAGAAGGTCAACTTATTGATCCCCTTCTAGTATCTAGCCTGTTTCTGGCTTTGTAAAAGTTTGTCAGAGAATATTCTAGTCAAGTTATTCTTTAAAATTAAGATAAATTTCAATAATACTTTGGGATCACAAGTGGTAGAACAAACAAAATGTAATTTAAGATCTTTAACCCTTTCAGGGTCGACAGGCCCTCTCAGAGACTTGTTCCCAGGGTCCCCCAAATTTAAAAAAAAAAAAAAAAAAAAAATTATGAAGAGATAGAGAATCTTTTCCCGATCATAATGACACCAAAAGTATGAAATTTGATGGAAAACTTACGAAATTATGCTCTCTCGCGAAGTTAGCGGTCTCGACGATGTTTACGCATTGGCGATTTTGCCCACTTTGAGTCCTATTTTCGGCGAATTCCAGTACATTTGTTGACAAAATCATAACTATTTTGTTAGAATTCCATTTTTTCTATCGAATGAGTACAAGAAGCCACCCATTTACCGATTTCAACTATCCAATACAGTGGTCAGAATTTAGCAATTTTGCCAATTTCACACAAATTTCAAAAAATGCCAATTTCCGAACAGGGTCCAGAATAAACAAGAAAGACATTCCTGGCACTAAAATAACCTTTCATCTGTTCATTAGTCACGTCCCCAGGCCCCTCTTACATTCTTCTGCTTTCCACTTTGAATTTTTCTCACAAAAAAAATAGAAGATTTACTGTTATGCAGACTACTGCATTGATGTAGAAATGGTATAAATAATATCAGCGCACTTGTAAAAGAATATTAGACTCACCAGTTGACGTGTATTGGATGCATAGCATGATTTGTTTACTTTTGAACTTTGGTAAAAATCGAACATTTCTGCTACTTTGAGCTCAATTTCAAGGTACTTTTCTTTGTAAAACCAGTCAAAATCATCTCAATTTCTGTAATATGTCTTCCATTCTATAAAATTACACCAGGAAAACTAGAATACAACAATAAATACCATATGAAAATAAAGTGCAAAGTCGCTGTTTTAATCCAAAAACATGGTCAAAGTTCTTTTTTTTTCTCATTACGCACTGTGTGCTGCAGGATTTTTTTTTATACCACGCACGCTGACCACATAGACCCATTCTTTCATATGTAGGCCTACCAGCTTTCTCTCACTAGATCTGAGGGCGCTAGAATTTAGGTGTACTAGTACATCAAAAACCCTGGCTCGTAAGCCATACTAGTATGGCTGAAACCCTGAAAGGGTTTATAACAAAGTTGTCTAGCTGGACAATATCAAAATAAATATATCTGATATTATTTAGGAGAGAAACTCCTACACTTTTCTTGGATGTAACTTAGTAAACAATTGTACATATAGTAGCACAGTGCCGAGGGCACATTTCGTAACAGTACGACTCACATGTATTGTCTAGTATGTTGATATCAAATACAGTGGACCCCCGCATAACGATCACCTCCGAATGCAACCAATTATGTAAGTGTATTTATGTAAGTGCGTTTGTACGTGTATGTTTGGGGGTCTGAAATGGACTAATCTACTTCACAATATTCATTATGGGAACAAATTCGGTCAGTACTGGCACCTGAACATACTTCTGGAGTGAAAAAATATCGTTAACCGGGGGTCCACTGTATAAGAATAATACTGGTACCTGTACTTAGTTCAGTGGTGACCTGTACTTAGCTCTGTGAAGAATTGTCTAGTGTGCTCTCTGTGAATCTGAACCAAGATGTCTCTCTTGAGCAACTCTACCAGCAGCTAAGAAAGGAGCTTAGGGTTCCTAAGCTCAAGATATGGCGACTGACAGAGGAAAATAAGAAGATTTGTAGTAATCCTCCTGTTGTGAGTCCTCAGGTCAAGAGGGGAACCTGGTCAGTGGCCGGGCAACATGGAACGAAGCTGAAGATCAAGAAGACTGTTGGAGTAGCAGAAACAACTAAGAACCAGGAGTCTATTTTGGAAACTTCCAACCCATTTTCAGTGCTACCCAAATAATGTGGAATGTCTACTGGGAATGTCACAACTAGCACCAAGGAAGCATTGGCGGATGAGAGTGAGTTGGCATTCCTTGAAACCCCAACGAAGCCCATCAAGAAGTCACAACGGAACTCCACGAGTGAAGGTAAGAACACTGTTTTAGTTGGGGACAGTCAGGTTAAGTTTATGGATAGGGCTCTTTGTCTTAGGGACAGGAAGAAGAGGCAGAGGGTATGTTTTCCTGGGGCTAGGATGGGGGATATTGTGAGTGTCTAGTATATGAAAGGTAATGGGAGCAATTCTATTATCTTGCCTAAGTGTGGGAGCAATGATGCTGGCAGCGTTTTAGGAGTTGAAGACCCAATTAGCAGGTACAGGACTGCAATAGAGATAATTGGGAGAAGGGTGGGAACCATGCTCGTATGTGCTTTTTGCCCAGGAAGGCTGAGTGGGAAATAAATGGTTGGTCCAGGGCAATGGTGTCATTTGCTGGCTGACCCCACACACTGTAAGGCAAATTCAAGTCGTAACATTCATAGACAACTGGGGCCTCTTCTATGGTAGAAATAAACATGTATACCAGGGATGAAGGGTCATTTATCTAGGATTTGGGGGGCAGAGTGGGAAGCACTGGCCAATGCAGTGGTGGGAGCTTATTAGGTCTATAAACTAGAAAAGATAGTGGTTATGGGTTTCTGTGAAAATCAATGGAATTCTCAGTTCCCTGTCAGCAATAGTGTGAGTTTTAGGGAAACCAGTGAATAGGCAGGATGAGGTTTTTAGATTTACTGACCCAAAGTGAATATTGGAACCCAATGGTACTAGGTGACAAGGTACAGTAAACAGGTATAGGGGGGAACAGAAATCAAGCAGAAGAGAAAAGAGAATGGGAAGTTTCTAAAGGATATTTTATACTAATACATGTTGTGGCAAGAACTAAGATGATACGATTTGGAGATTAGCGCAAGTGCAAGTAAAATTGATTGTTTTCGCCATAAGGAGGACGTGTGATGCAATATGAAAAATCGGGGGACATGCTATGCTGGAATGTCACACTCAGGGTTTTAAATTGTTTCAAGGCAGATAGAAGAATCGTAAAAGGGAGGGGGGTGGCACTCTATGTTCAAGATCGTTTAAAATGTTGCATAAAAACAGGTATAAAGTCTGAAATAACATATACAGTGTGTGTCTGGATAGAATTTTCAGAGGGGTATGAGAAATTGATTTAAGGTGTGATACACCATCCCCCAAACTTACTTTTGAATGTCACTGTTGTATTCAATGACCATTCTACCTCATAGTCTTAATTGTGTTTAATATCTACGTAATCTCACTCCTTTTTTACCACTTCATTGTTCTGTCTTATTTTAATTGAAACTAACCATAGCTTGTCCTCAGTATTCTACCTGACTTTAAAAAATACTCTATCATCC